CGTCCTGATTCCGTCGTTAAATAATTCCTGAGGACCTTGGGGGTTGTCCTTAAACTGCCTCTTGATCAGCCAGATCAGTCAGATGTCAGCTCGTTGCACGCAAGGATAAATAACGGGCAGTTCTGGTTATAAGCATATGCCTTGGGCATAGGGGTGGGATGTTAATGCACACCTTATACACTGCTGCTCGACGATGCCTACAGGCACGTTGGATACAGGGGACGAAGATTCCAATTGAGACTCAACTGGCAAACACAACTATACCCATTGTGCATACATCTGCTCACATAATTTATTTTTATTTTGATAAGTTGGTTGACAGACTGCTAACACCTCACAAACAACCTGAACTAGGACTTTTAATGTTTTACCATAGTCAGTTCTCCTCGAAGCTTCTGTAAGTGAACTGATCGAAGTAGACTTAGATTATGTGTACGGTCTATGTAAATGTTGTTGATAACGCTTGAATGATAGCCTAGGTTACTTGTCGGACATTATTCGACTTTTATTTATTTTTAGAGTCGTTCAGACGTGTGGGTTCCAGAGAGCAGACTTGTGCAGACACCGTCTGCCTAGCCGATGAGTGGATCAGAAGGTGGTGAAGGTACAATTGACGACAAAAGGCAAACACGGTGTGATACACGTAGGATACCTGTAGTGTTCCAGGTTCTACTTCCGGGAGACGAAAGAAGGATAAGGGCCGAAGCAAGAGCCCGTACTCTTGAGACTGCAAGGGAAGCAGCCGCAGTTGTAGAAAGGACGTTAGTGGCAGCAGCAGCTAGCGCAGTAGCAATGGCTACCTCTGCAGCATCGTCTGCGGCTTCCTCGTCTGGTCAATCGCTTGGTATGCCGTAGACCAATGGGTAGTCCATCTCCAATATGTCAGGATCCGGAACCAGTCAGATGGTGGGCTCACAGTTCAGCTCGCCGCCTCCACTCACCAGGGTGCAGATGGAGCTCCAACAAGTAGAGAGGATCCGCTTAAGGTTAGAGAAGGAACTTAAGGAGGCTACCGAAAGAGAAATGAGATTAGAAACAGAAGTGTCACACTTGAGGGAAGAGAGGCAGACAAAGTTGTTGTAGAGGGTTTAGATGACGCTGTCATTGACGACAATACGCGGATCCTCAAGGCAGGTCTCATATCCATGCATGCATACATGGACAACAAACAAGATGCTATCTAGGACACCCTAGACCGGATCATGAATGCCATGCACATGCCAGGTTTCAGGCCAGCAGTTTTGCCATCGTTGCCATTATCGACGATGATAGGCCTGTATCCGCCTCAATCTGGTACAACGCCAAGCGGTACTCAGTACTTCAGCAGGTTGTTGCTTCTACATCTTCTGGTCCAGCGGCTGGGGCCACACCACAACTGCCACCCCAAGACCCCATTGAAACCACCCTCAACCTTCTCAGGGGATAAGAAGGATGAGGCTCTCCACACTTGGTTGAGAACAGTGCCAGTGTGGGTGAGGGCAAAGAGGACGTGGGTAGAGGAGGAAGTGACAACTATCGCATCCTATCTGGAGGGTTCGCCAGCTCGTTGGCTAAATGGATTAGTTGCCTCACAGGGATTCGGTAGGAACATGGGTGATTGGGCTAAGACCCATACCCTAGAGAGCTTTATGGATTTGGTGGAAGCGCGATGGCACAACCCACAACAGACACAGATTGCCATTGATGCGTGGACCTGGCTTGATACTAAGAAGTACAGTTCGTGCGTGAACTCACCTCTGTCGTCGAGAGCCTGATTGTCCCCGGGGTACGCTATGATCTTTAGGTCTTAATGACCATGTTCTTGAGATGTCTTCCCACAGACATCAAGAACTTGTTAGCCAGCGAGGCTCAACTCGAGTATCACACGTTTGAGACCTTTAGCAAGAAAGCTCTAGATTTAGGGGTCATGCTAGGAGGTGCTCCACAACTCCCTACGGACGGAAGAAAGAAGAAGAGTCCACAAGAGTGGAAGAAGAAGGGGAGCCGATTGATGATGGTTGAGGCCGACGGTACTCAAATTGAGATCGATGACTTTTCTGACTTAGTGGACGGTTCAGAGTTTGACAGCAAGGATAGTGTTGAGGGTAGCAACCTCGCTGCTTTGGTAACGGTTAAGGCAGGTGGCCGCGACAAGGGCGGTTAACAGAGGAGTCAAGGGCAAACCCAGAACCCGAACAAGATAGCGGTTTGGGTTATAGCGGGTTTGGATCAAGATGTGTGGCGGGACCTTTGTACGCGGGGTGCTTGCATTAACTGCGGCGAGTATGATCATCAGCAGTTCAAATGCAAGAACGCAAAGGTTTCGTAGAAGATACCACCTAAAGGTGGGATTCCTTCTTCCCAAAGTGGGGCCTCTACGAGTTCCAGCTCGGGAAACACATAAGGCCAATAGAAGTTCTAGTTGCTTCTACTCGTGTTGAAGCGGGTGATGTACCCTCCCCGTTTCAAGAGTTGGTCGAAGCTATCGACTCCTTCGTCACCCCGCAGACGCATCCTGACCTAACGATACTCTGCTCGTTGGATGTGTCTGAAGCCTTAGAAGACCTACAAAGCGAGTGGTCGGCAAGGGACCCTCGTGAGTCCTGGGTGGCATTAAGTCGGGGTCCTGGAGGGGAGAACTTCGTTGTGGAAGTTGGTGTAGGTGGCTGCAAGTGCGGTGCCTTCGTAGACATCGGCTCCACACGGAACTTTATAATTTGCGACTGTGTTGATAGACCGCACCTACAAGACCGGGTGCAGCGCCTTAGTAGACCGGAAGCATCTACTTTGGCCAACAAAGAGCCCATGCTGGTGGAGGACTACGTTAAGGACGTGGTCTGTACTTTCTCCTATGCAGGAGGGGAACTTAATCACAAAATTTCGTTCCTTGTTAGCGACGACTTACCGTTTGACATGTTGTTAGGCATGTACTACCTTGAGGTTGCCAAACCTTAGTTTGATTGGGACAAGAAAGTGCTTAACATGAGTTGCCTAATGGGAGAACTGTTAGACTAGCTAAGTATAAGGCTAGTAGTAGGTTAATTGACTCCCCCGGGTGCTTGTGCGCATCAACATTCTACAATTATTATAAATGGAACCAAGAGGAGGGTATGTACCTGGTTTTTGTCTTTGAGAAAGGGGAGGTCGTTAAATCACCCCCAGAGATAGAAAATGTCGTTGCTAAGTACCCTGATCTGTTTGAGGAGCCTACAAGTGTCGTAGACAGGGAGGTTGTCCATGCAATAGAGATCATCCTTGGGAGCATACTCAAAGGAAAATCTATAGGATGGCTCCGTCCGAGTTGGACGAGCTTCGTCGGCAACTGAAAGAGCTCACAGAAAAGGATTGGATACGGCTTAGCATCTCCTCATTCGGCTCACCCGTTCTAAAGGGCTAGTTTTGTCGATACCATGTCGATACCATATCGTTCTAAAGGAAAAGCTTTGACATTGGGGAGGTAACTCTACTTTCTCGCTAAAGGGCTAGTTTTGTCGATACCTCACAAGCGTCTTTCCCCTGATGCTTTGTCGTGTTTGCAAGCAATTGCTCTTTTCAATACCCAAGCATCCCAGGGGTCCTTTGATAAACTTCTCTTCTTTTATGCACAGGTCAAGCGTCTTACTCGGGCCACACATCCATTTACTAAGCAATGGTCCTATGGGTTCATCGACGTGGGGGACACCCTTCATCCTCTTAGCCGGCTTATGCATTAGCACTCATTGTCTCAAACATCATGCATCATGTTCGTTGTTTCCCTAAGCACCCCTTAGTCGTTTCGGGGTTCTCACCCGCATACTCACAGGGGTTGACGACCCTCTCGACCGTCCGACACCTTTGCAGACTTCAATCATGCAGACCATGCCTTTCTTTCCATTCACACTCAGGTCGGATGCACGAAGGTCCTCATCCATAGGCAAAGGTTACGTTCACAACCCGCTTAGCTTATGTCTCGTCTTCCCTTTTGCCTCCCGGCCTATCCGGGCATATTCCAACTCGAGACATCTTCAAAGGCTACTCACCTGCACACTCGATACACTGCAGACAGATACAACCCCTAGTTGGGGTCAACACGTTATCCCTCCCACATGCCTAATTTCCTTCTCCGTTCCTTAGGTTCCTTTCGACTCATTTCTTTCCTTCCTCCAAGCCATTCTCCTCTCTTAGTCATGCAGTCGGGGTTCTGGGTGAGTCAATTGACCTCTCTTTTACTTCGGCAATTCTCTCTAGTCCTTCTTGGACTTGTCAACCCTCGGGCTCCTCAAGCACTTTTTTCTTTTCTTCTGGGTGGCGCAAGGGACCGACAACCCTCCCCTTGCCCTCTTCTTTCACTAATTGAGATCAGAGTTTTGTTCACCGTTTGTACCCTGGCAATGTAATAAGTGAGTGGAGGAAGGGTTAGTTGCATGCCAAGATGGAAGGGGAGAGAGGGTAAGGGTCGACCTTGGGGTTTGGAATAGGAGGATGAGAGAGGTTGGCAATCAAGGAGAAGTCAAGGAGAAGGGGAAAAGAGAAAGAGAGAGAGAGAGAGAGAGAGAGAGAGAGAGAGAGAGAGAGAGAGAGAGAGAGAGAGAGAGAGAGAGAGAGACCCTCCCCCGAAGCCTAATCCAACCTACCTTCTACTTGTCCTACCTTCCTACCTACGACTTCTGTAACGATTTGCTGCCTTATATGCCTTGGACCATGCATGACATTGGTTGGTGACGGAGGTGGAGGTGGAGGTGGAAGAAGGTGTGAAGGTGCTTGGCTATGGCGGATGAGTGGAGGTGGAGGTGGAAGGTGTGAAGGTGATTGGCTGTGGCGGATGGGTGAAGGAGGTGGAGGTGGAAGAAGGTGTGAAGGTGCTTGGCTATGGCAGATAGGTGGAGGTGGAGGTGGAAGAAGGTGCGAGGGTGCTTGGCTGTGGCGGATGGGTGAAGGAGGTGGAGGTGGAAGAAGGTGTGAAGGTATTTGGCTATGGTGGATGAGTGAAGGAGGTGGAGGTGGAAGGTGTGAAGGTGCTTGGCTATGGTGGATGGGTGAAGGTGGAGGTGGAAGAAGGTGTGAAGGTGCTTAGCTATGGTGGATGGGTGAAGGAGGTGGAGGTGGAAGAAGGTGTGAAGGTGCTTGGCTATGATGGATGGGTGAAGGAGGTGGAGATGGAAGAAGGTGCGAAGGTGCTTGGCTATGGCGGATGGGTGAAGGGGGTGAAGGTGGAAGAAGGTGTGAAGGTGTTTGGCTATGGCGGATGGGTGAAGGAGGTGGAGGTGGAAGAAGGTGTGAAGGTACTTGGCTATGGTGGATGGGTGAAGGAGGTGAAGGTGGCAGGTGTGAAGGTGCTTGGCTATGGTGGATGGGTGAAGGAAGTCGAGGTGGAAGAAGGTGTGAAAGTGCTTGGCTATGGTGGAGTTGTGAAGGAGGTGGAGGTGGGAGAAGGTGTGAAGGTGTGAAGGTGTGAAGGTGCTTGGTTATGGTGGATGGGTGAAGGAGGTGGAGATGGAAGGTGTGGAGGTACTTGGCTATGGTGGATGGGTGAAGGAGGTGGAGGTGGAAGAAGGTGTGAAGGTGCTTGGCTATGGTGGACCCCAAGCCTTTGGTTCTTACCTACTTGCATGGCTTCAACGTTCGAACCATCAAGATTTGTGAAATGGAAACTTGCCACAGAAATTCAGAGTTTGCAGAAATTTTGATTCGTTTAAAAAAAACTCAGACTGCGAAAAACTCAGATTTGCGATTTTTCAGTTTTTGTCAATTTTGCTAGGGGAGGGAGAGCCGAAAAACACAGATTTGTGTTTGGGGGCGTAAACGACATCAAATGACCTCGTAACTTCATGGGTTCTCTGTCTATACCCTACTGATTATTCTCCTAAAATATGGCCGGATTCCAACGTGGTTTGCCCCTACTTGCCTGTTTCGGATACCGCCCGAGGCTCTAAGTGAACAGTTCAGGGAAGTCCATTTTCCATTTTTGCGGGAAAATGGACTCTGATGGTCTGGTGGCTTTGTAGGATATGGGGTTTGTACAGTCCCAGCCCCATATCCCCTGCCTGGTGGAGTTGGTTTGTTCAGTCTCAGCCCCCATATCCCCTGTCCCAATTTTTTACTATTTTTATTTGGGCCTATCTAGTCCCTGACACCGTTCCTCATGACGTTCTATTTTTATTTGGGACTTCCTAGCCGCCCGCAGTCCCAATCTCCCTTCCTAGTGTGCCCCAAGTGTGCCTAATATTCTCTGCCGCTAGATCATCATCTCACTATTGCTATTTACCGTCTCCACTTGCCCATGCTTGAGACACCACTTCTAGCGTTTTTGGCGTGCCAAGGCTCATTTTCCTTTTGCCTTGGCACCCCCATACAATCCGTTAATTCTCAGAGTGCAATGCTGGTCATTTTCCTAGTCCCATTGACCCCTTACTTGCCCCAAACTGAAACAAAATGGAGCGGCACATTTCCAAGTGCATCTGGGCTCAATATTGGTTCCGAATGTACTTGAAACATGTGTTTTCCTCCCCTCTTTCAATCTGTTGCACCTCGGTTGCAAGAGGTCTTAATTTTCTTTGATTTTCTCAAGAAAATCCAAACACAGTCAAGATACTTTGTAACCGATTCACCCTAGGATGAATCCGGTCACAAACGCATCTCCCAAGTGACCGTCTTTTACCGTTAGTTGTTCTTTTTATTTTTCTTTTCTTTTCTCTTTTCTTTTTTCCAGAAGATTTGATAGTAGGGACTTGCCTGTCCCTACTGTGCCAGTCCCTACTGACGGCCAACTCGGTCCCTCCTCCTCCTCTTTTGTGTCATTCTTCCTTTTTTTTTTTTTTTTTTTTTTTTTTTTTTTTTTTTTTTTTTTTTTTTTGACATGACAAGTGTCAACTAGCTGTTGAGACTTTTTTCTAGGCCATGGATCTTGACCTAGGCCTAGATCATGCTCAAGGGGCGGTTCATTATTTCCCGAACTGCAATTATGGCACCCCCATTTTGCCATCGTTAACTCTAAACTATGCCCCCTTTTACTTCGATTTTCCCTTCGTAGCTTATTTATCTCATAGAGTTGCGCAAGGCTTTAATTTCTCTAGTCTAGCTGGTGCGAGATATCTCGGACTGCAATCCACACCCTCCTTCCTCATTTCTTCTCTTCTTTGCCCTCTACGGCTCTTCCACTTGATCCCACTAGTGTTAGCACAAGTGGTGCTAATATTTTGAGTCGTTAGATGTTGATCTCGACGATGCATCTCTCTTTGATTATTCATCCTTCATGATGCCCCTATAATTCTCTTGGAACATCTCAATTCCCCAACCCTTGTCCCGTACTAGTCCCCGACACTAGTCCTGTCTGTGGTCCCACCGGTCCTGATGCCAATTTGTGATTATTTTTATTCGACCTCATGCGGTTCCCGACACTACTCCCCATGTCTTCTTAATTTTATTTGGGACTCCTTTGTCCCCGACACTCCCAATTTTCTCCTTTTCATGTGTCTCAAGTGTGCCCAATATTCTTGGCCACGTGATCTTGATCTCGAGGTCGCCGTTCACCGCCGTATTTTGGTCCTCATGCTTGAGGCTCTCTTTTGTAGCGCCTTGCGGTCGTTAAGGCTCACTTTCTCATGGCCTTGGCACTCCCTTACATTCCGTTACATCTCGGAGTGCAATGTCGACCTTTTTCCTACTCCCGTTGGCCCCGTACTTGCCTCAAACTAAAACAAAATGAAGCGGTACATCCCCAAGTGCATCCAGATCCGGATGTACTTGAAATATGTTTGCTTTACTTTTTGTGATCCATTGCATCATGGTGTACTGCCTCCTTGATTTATCTTGATTTTCTCTCCTAAAATCAAGAAAATCAAGATATTTTGTAACTGTTTCATCCTATGATGAATTCGATCACAAAATGTATCTAAAACATGTTTTTTTTTTTTGCTCTAGGTGCTCGTTTTTTTTCGTTTTTGTTGTAACTGCATCTAGGCTTGATGTAGTCTTGTTCAAGGCACCTAGGCCTCTTTTGAGAAGGAGCAAGCTGGCCATGATGTGGCATCTTGCCTTTTTTCCACTCCCACACTCTCCTACCTCTCCCATTCTCCCTCTAGGCCCTTTTCTCCTTACCTGTGCTGACCGTTTTATTATGCCGTATTCAGGTGGTGCCCTTGGCCCCATGCTATGATCTTATGTGTTGGCGTCAAGGCACTATTTTCCTTGGCGACGTTGGCCCCCTTCTTCTTGCGGTACCCAATATCTGGGTATTATTTTTCTGGCGGTCCTCCTCCTTCAAGGAGGGGGGCCGCCTTCACTAATTTTCGGTGTTTTTTTGCCGACCGGAATCCCGCGGTCTATTCCTAGTCCTAAAGCTTTGGCGGTCTCAGGCCTCCTCTTGGGTCCTTGTCGTCGGCGATCCTGCCTTAGTTCTTCATCCTTTCTTTCTCTGTTGCTTCCTCATTCCGGATTCCTCTGACGTGCACATCTTAGTCATATATCATGTCTCAAGGGTCAATTCGAGAACCAAAGGTCCCGACACTGTGCGCGTGCTAGTATCGGCGATGGTGGTCTTCGGGTGAGGCTCCATTAAGTGGGAGAGAGCGAAGGGTGAGGTGAGAGGAGAAGAGGCGCGTACCTGGTGTATGATGGCCGTCTGCATTGGCGACGTCGTCACACACATTGGTCTTCATCTTGAAGTGACTCTTGTTGTACATACATTTGAGTTCATTGTATTGCTCTTATTTGGCTAGTATCTCGGTGTATTGTGCTTTCTGCTTAGTACACGACTATCTGGTCATGAGCGCGATATTGCAATTTGGTTCCCTGTCTATCGCTCTCCCTCATTTTCCTTGCGATGTGGTATGGGAGCTGGTTCAGATATGGCCAAACTGGCACTGGTAAGTGACCTGACAAAGTTTCTCCGCAGTAAGGGTACTTCTGACGCTGGCTGATTGGGTCCCTCCTGGGTAGAGAGGGGAGCGGGACCGGAAGGCTGTGGCGACATCTTAAAGGTTGTGGCGATAACATGTGTATGTGGAATGACGAGGGCATGCTGATGTGACATTTTGGCTGAGGTGGCACTGCATTGCATTGTTTGTGGTATCGAGGCTACGATCGGTCATCAAATTGCACGTCGGCTCAATTGTGAGAAATATGTGGTTGGGGGCAGCTATCTTCAGGTACGTTGTTCCTTACGTTATCATCCCATCTCAATCTCTTTTTACCGTGAGGAAGAGAGTTCGGCTTGAGAGTCCTCTTCTGGTTCTGGGTCGTGAGCACTCTATCTTGAGAGTTGACATTCTTCCTGGTGGCGCATCTGGTGCGAGAGGGCGGTGCCTCTGAAGGGTCTTGGATGAAGCACAGGTCACGGTCACCATGCCAACCCAAGGGAGTAGAGCACGCATGCTTTGCTGCATTGCCCTTTGAGCTCTTGCTGCGCATAAAGGTGTCAGCAGCTGGCAAGCCTTATGTGGGATCGACGTGCACCAGACCGTCGAAGATACTCCGGAGGGGAAATCAACTCGCCCTGTATGCGAGGATAAAAGTAGTACGAACGAGGGGTCTTGGAGGCAGCAGCAGCAGCGGACACAGGCAATAGCAAGGCCTGCTGCAGCAGCAGTGGCCGAGTACGCCTGGCCGAAAGGCCTTGCAAACTATGACACGGTCTTCCTCGGCCGGTGCAAAGCGAAGGACAACAGTCTCAAGTCAGATGGCTGGCTCGCAGTTTAGCCAGCCACTCCGGTTCACTCAGGCTGACCTGGAGATTTAGGAGGCAGCAGACATCCGAACTCAACTAGAAGCCGGACTTGAGGACGCAGAGGACAAGGAACAAAGGACTAGAGATAGGAAAGCCAAACTTGTGAGTGGGGACATAGACGAGGCTAGGCTAGAGGCATTGGAGACTAGACTCGATGTCGCAGAGAAGACTTTGTGGACATGCAAAGTATGCATGAATAAGCCCATGTCCGTGCGGGAGAGCATGGTTACTCTCCTTTTTGGTCGGGTCCAGATACAGAGGGTGCACAGTGGGAGTGAAAAAACATTTCCATCCTTAAGTATGTTGCCGAGTGTCAGGACTGTAAGGCAACATGTGTTTGTCTCACTGTTGACACTAAGAGTGTCACCAGTGTGAGGTCCTTCTATTCCTAGGTTTAATATAGGTCCATCAGGCGGGCCGTTAGCAGTAGGTAGGCTCATGGAGCTTCTTCTTCTTCTTCCATCAGGTAGGCTCAACAAGCTGCGCTGCAGGCGGCAGTGCACATTGGTGGGCAACAAGGAAAACTGGTTCCAAGGACTGCATTAGTACAGTCCGAGTCCTTCTATGTGGTTGGGAAGGAAGCGGCCCTCGACATTTGGTTGAGGAAGGTGTTGACACGTGAGGAACGATGACACGCGTCCGGGGAAGGAACTAATAGTTGCAGCAGCGAGGTGGTTAGATGGGCTAGTACAGTAGACTGGACACGATCGGGACCTT